ATATATATGTATATATATTTATATATTTATTTTTATACTTTATATATATATATTCAACGATAAAAAAGATCGCTTCGATCGAGCCGATCGAATATCCGTGTCACCGCGGCAGACAGTGACTGCTCTTTTCTCACGAAACGTATGATCTTCGAGTGGCCATTTAAATCTAGTTATAATTCTCGTTTTATATGAAACACTTCTTTTTTATATTTTGTCTCTCTCTCTCTCTCTCTCTCTCTTTCTCATGGATGAAACGCCGTTCGAAGATCAACCTTTCGAGTCTTCACCCTTAAAACTCGCACAGACGTATCGACGACATTTGACAAATTTTCGATAATAATTTCTAAGATTTCTCGCACATCGTGACGCACATGTTGCGATGAATTTTAAAGAAATCTGGGAAAGCTCGGAAAAATTATATGGATAAAAATTGACATTTTAGATAATAACTTGTTTCTGTTAAAATTAAAAAATTTTTAATATATGCGTTTTGTTATACATGATTTTAACCGTGTCGACTCATATTGGCATTTTTATTTTCCTGTATGATTATTTTTTGGAACCTTTTCTTATTTTTTAAAAAAATTGGCTTTAAATAATTATTTAAATTTAAAAATTATTAAAAATTTCATCTTTTCATTTTAATACATATTCTTTTAGTAAACCAGTCTAACATATAATTTTGAAATTCAATATATATCTGTTATTCGTAAAAAATGCACATAGCACAGAATTACTATGTTGCATAAATTATGTAAGATTTGACGTGTTTACGAGTGTTCGTTGAAACTGAATGAAAGTTTTAATCAAAATAAATGATAAATGTCCCTTTGTAAAATAGTAAATATTATTGTGTTCAAGAGAAGAAATACTTGGTTCTGTTTGGTTTAACCAAAATGCATTTATCTATATACGTCTTGTTAATCAAACCATAATCAAGTCATTTTACTCATACGTTATTGCGAGAATAGAATGTCGGTTATATATACTTGTATTATCAGAATGGCCAAAACTGTCTTGTACAACTGAAAAAAAAAGTATGCTTTCATTAACGAAAACAGTTTTATTAAATTGGGAAGAAGCTATTATTTTTAAGTCTGCTGTTGATAGACGAATAACATCTACTTATACTGATATCATTCGAAAATACATCAGAATTTAACGCAATAAAAGTCCAAATAAAGCGGGCTCCAAATATTACTCGCTTATAATTAAATCTTGCTTCATAATAAGCTATAAATAATCGAGCCTATCACGTTCGTAGTCACGTTCAATGGGTTACAAGCCTGCTTTTAATGGGCGTGTTAGATCAGTGCACGATAACAGTCAGAGAGAAATATATAAAATAAAACGCGTTTAATTCTGACAGAATATCGATACTTGCGAAATAGTTGTATCACAGATAGCGTGAATAGTCCAACAACATTAAATGCGAATTTTGCTGTAAACGCAAAAAATTGTATTAATATCTAGTATCTAATATAAACTTTAGATATCGTTGTAATAATTATCATTATTAATAAACTTACATTACTCCACGAGAACATTGCAATTAAAATACGTAACATGTAACATAAAATATAATATATAACATAAATATATAACATATTAATCTTACGGACTTTTATAATGACTAATGTACTGCGTTAAAAGAAAAAGTTTTAGTAATATCAGATATGGAACTTTCTGTTCATACACACGTTATTGATGCGAAAGAATGATATCAGTATGTATGAAGAATGCGATAAAGTATTTTTCGCATATCAAACCACACAGACAATTCATTTCGTTCGATTCAATCTTTGGTTTTGAACGGAAAATTTTAGACTGTCTTTGTTCTAAAATTAATTCAATCTCGCAACTATGCCGTAAACATCGTCGATCTTAATTCATGCCGACACGTGCGCAGCGATGTGTAATTCGAATTTCCTTTTCAATTCGATCCTCTCCCGCATTCTGTCACTCATCGATAGCAAATCGTGACACGCCGGTGCCGAGAGTGATCACGATAGAATCCAAGTAGAAACACGCCGAAACGAAAGGGAGTTAAGGGAGAGTGAAAAATCAGTATCAATTGCAAAATTTGAGGATCTCGCCAAGAGGTTTCCCCAAATGCGTGCAACACGACGCACAAGTGGCGTGCGTGTGC